TCTCTATCTCTATCTCTATCTCTATCTCTATCTCTATCTCTATCTCTCTCTCTCTATTTATCTATCTATCTGTCTATCTATCTATCTATCTATCTATCTATCTATCTATTGGTGGGGACCCTGCCCATTCAGTCATTCGCCATTATGAGGGTCATGTTGTTCCAATGATACGGACCGGGGGGTTCAGAAACACACATTGCAACTCTGAAACGGCTTAGATAAGCATCCCTGGCAGCTGGTCTTTCTCGAGCTCTCAAACTTGAGAAGCTTCCGGACGCCGATGAGAGCCACGGAGTCCACTTCTTCTCATTATATCGGGGCCTGCCGAACTTGTACCGCTTGCTTGGGGCGGTCAGGTCGGGGAAGCAGCATGCTTGTTGAAGAGTAGCAGTGCAGCCCAACCGTTTTTGCACCGTATTGCCAAGAAGTGAGCGATCGAAGTGAAGCGCCCATGACCCTTGGCAGGCCCTTTTTTGCCGAGCTCGGCCTGTGTCGAGTCTTTTGCCGTGATGTCATCGGTGCCAAAGGCACCGAGGAAACGACAGCGGTACAGCAAACGCTGAGAATCCACGAAGCCAAAGAAGTGATGGAGAGGGGACACCACCTGCCAAGCCAGGGCCCAAGCCAGGTCCAGTCTGACCCAGCAAAACCTGGTCCTGTCAGGTGGCAGTTTCTTTCTGAATAAGAATCGAAGTACATCAAAGCACCCTCAAACACTGGTTGTTTAGAGGTTCCTGTTGAGGGTTGGACCGGCACACCGGTCCCGACCAAACATGGCTTGCGAGTGAGTTCGACCACCCCCGACTTGTTTGGATGCTTTGTTTGGATGCTTTGTTCGGCAACGGGTCGAACTGATCTGAACTTAAGGTCAAACATCATAGATTTAGATGGATACCTAGCGCTTCCTGTCTGGGTGTCCAATGGAGACCTATATGTAGTGTGGGGTTGTCCAGCCAGGTGATCCATTGGAAGCAGCTGGTAGACAATTATTTGATAGTTGGACCAACTGTTTGACAACACTCCATCAGTTCTCGCCCCAGCTGTGCACATGTATGGTAGAGTTTCGCACACCGGAGACGCCATAAGGCTTGTTGCACACGCGCGCCAACAACATTTTTGCTTTTAAACATGTTCTCGGCGCGTCTGCATGCGATGACTTGAGCGGCTTTTTCGCGTCGCACATGTTTGGATCACACATCGCCCAACAACTCCGCTCCATCGAGCTCCAAAGTGAGCATTCCGCACCCCCCCCGGTGGACCGGACTTGGGGAGCTCGAGCTCTGAGGCCATGAAGTGCAAGAGGTGGTCGTGGGGATGCTGGAGCAGGTGGAGACCAGACTCGGGAGTTGGTGGTTCTCGGGGTTCACCCTGGAGGGCCCCCTGTGGAGGCAGAGTCTTTGCAAAGAGTGGTGAACATGAGTTGTATTGAGTTGTATATTATTGAAGATGGTCTAATATAGCAGGCAGCCCTCCACCCCCACATTTGCGAAGATGTAACAACAGCAACCTGTTCAATCAGAGCTCAGGTTCACATATGCATAGGTTCACAGGCTTTTTGACGTAGTGTGTGCTGGTGCAACTTCGGCAACTTGTTCCGATTTATTTCGGGAATCAATGGTCCTGCCACATTTCTTTTGAGATTCTGAGACATCTTGGAGCCATGAGGGCGGAGGCTTTTCACGCAGCCCATGGCACGACCCACGCCGCACGAGCCGCCTCCGCCGGGCTCAAGCGCATTCGTGGGTGTTTTTTTACAGATTCGACCCGCAAAGGAGCAGGACACGGATGAGTTTGAGATGGCATTTCTTATATTTCTTGGCCGTTCCGCTGGTCGTCGGGCAGGAGGTAAATATATCTTTGTAGCGAGCCTTTCAGGCTTGAGCACGGAGGCGGCACCACAAAGACTGGCTGAAATTCTGGAAGGTGAAGGAGTTTTGCCCTGAGAGAAGTCCCCAGGTGGTCAGATTTTCATAGGCGGGCAGATCCACGAGTTCTTTTTTCCCATGCTTCATGAAAGCCACTCCTTCACTGCCCCCAATATCGCTCGGCTCGAATGACGGCATTCCGCTGGGAGATTCTCAACATCAACAATGCAGGTCGTAGCAGCTAAGCATTTCTTGTGCAGCAACATCGCCCAACAGGTGTCACTTGTGTAAGAGAGCTTGTCAAGTTGATGCGATGTTGTATAAGGTGATTTACAACACAATACAACATCTAAAAATGGAGTGTGCTCCGACTTCACGACCGTAGAAGAAAAGGGACCCCCGGAAGATGAATCTCCTTCACCAAAGGTCACACAAAACATCGCAAAACTATCGTGCTAACCTAGCCTGCACCTGGAAAAAGAACATGTTCCAACCTTGTTTGTCAGTTGCTATATGTTTCACCTGGGCCGCAACAGAGCCTAACCCAGACCCCCCAAATATGAAGCACTTGACCCGGCCAAGTCTGAGCCAACTTACTGAGTGAAGCACGGCCCACAAGTGCGGCGTTCCTTCTTGCAGTGGTTCCATGCCCTCTGCATTCAGCGCACTTAGTTTTCATCCCCCTTTCTGAACAGCATCCATTTTAAAAAATCATTTTTTGAAGTCGGATGATCAAAGAAGTTGGAACAATGGACCTTTAACCGGAATGATGTTTGGACACTTGGTGAGCGAGTCAACCGGCTCACTTGGATGTCCAGTTTCGCCTCACTTGGCCTTCGTTCTTGGTGTCGCCCGACGGTCTCTGGTCTCGGCAGGACATGTCGGTGCCAGAGGTGCCTTGAAGACTGTCGGGATGGGGGTGCTGTGTCTTTGAGGCCGTGGGCCGTAGTAGAGGGTAGCGAGGTAACTTTGGAAAGGCTTGGCACTACAATATACTATACTAGCGGGCATTGATCAAAAGTACCTGGGCATGGCGAGCGGGCACGGGGTTGAATGGGGAGTTCAGTCTGGAGTGGTTACTGTAATTATTTTCAACCAACACTGGAAAAGATCAGTCTTTCCAAAATGGAGTGATAAAGATCACCCTAGCGGTGATCCAGGTACTATCCCTGAAGCCATCGAAGTGGAAGTGCTGGATGAACATGGCCCCTTTGGATCACCCTGCCAACAGCTGGTTTTACTCATGCACTTCCGTGAGGGATTTGGAGTCCAACCATGCTCCGTGACCTCAAGTTACATCCAGCCTCTAGATCCATATAGCTTCAGTCAAGGGGTCGGCATGAGCCATCCGTGTCTTCGTGTGGCTCTGCCGCCCTGGTGCGCGCGCCGGACGGCCCGCGCCGGGACGGCCGGGCATGTCGCGGACGACGATGATCCCAGGTTCATCCGGTGGCTTTATTATGGTACACTCTGACTCAGTGACATGGAACAGGAAAATGGGACCCTGCAAGACTACTGTCCTCTACAAACAGGAGGTTTTCCACTTCCATGTTAGTGAGTCAAAGTGTAGCTTGGCTTGCCCCCACCAAAACCTTGAGGACTTTAGGATTTGAGCTGATGACGAGACGAGGTCTTTTTGTTAGGATGTCCCGACCGATGGAAAAAGCATTGTATCAGCGAGTTGCGTCGAAGAAAGAAATAAGAGATCGAAAGGGTTGACACGTCGCACGCAGATGTGCTCATTGTCATACTTTAGTCGATGTTTCTCCATGCTACCCAAGAGATTAAGAAGGTGCACTGGGAGTTGAAGTCTGAATCGATCTTGGACCTCTCTGGAATCATCTAGAATCTTAGCCTTTGGGCCCCAAGTTGACCAATGTGCCACGGGCATTAACAGCAACGGGCATCTCTTAGTATATAGGCCTCTCCAACGTGGTGCGGATGTAGGTATATAATTTATATAATGATGTTTGATGAGGCTGCAGCACACAATTGTGAGCATCGACAGTTTTGCTTCGTAGTTTGTGAAGTGACTGGATCTACTGGTACTTTAACAGGCGAATCCCTATGTCTATCATTTCGTGAGTAACCGGGCGCTCAAGAACAAAGGACTGGCTGCTGCGGAGAGTCGGCCCCACGTGGGAGGTGAACACATGTTCCGTGGAGAAACACTTCCGTTCGAAATCATCCCCAACACTGCGCCACTACGCCTGTCACGGAAAGGTCGTGTGCGTTGGGGGTTGGAGCTCCGTGACCTTGGTACCTTTGCTCAGGCGGAGGATCTTACCGAAGTCGCGATGGAGGTGCGACCATGGGGGCGACCCCCATTCTCCCTGTTCTCCCACTCAGCCCGCGGTTCGCCCACCACAGACGACTTCGCTTGTGCCCTCCGTTTGGGGGGGTGATGTGCTGCCCGGCCTTTTTTGGACTAGTCACGTAGCCCCTGTGGAGCCTTTTGAAGGGGCTTGGGACTTCCTTTTTTTTCTTCCTCAAATGTGTTTATGGACTACCCCACACTACCTATAGGCTTCCATTGGGCACCCCTTAGAGGGTCCTGGTATATGATGGATATCTTATGGAAGATGCATAGAGCTCCGTCCTTCTTTCCATGCGAACAGGAAGCCGAGTCCCAATATTCAATAGTGGCTTGGATACTTGTTTTTTTTACGTTTATTTATAATGTTTATATAAAAAGTGTGATGGTAATAAACACCGAAGAACACCTAAGCCTGGCCAGATTTGGGATGACCATGACCTGCTTCCACGTTCTTTTAATTATAGGTTTGATGTGTTTTGATATTGGTGCTGTAGCCAAAAAGATGTTGGGGCATTTTGGGTTAGCAGGCAAGTCTTAGTGTATATTAGGTGGATTGGTTCAAACACTATAGCCGGTGGGGGGTTCCCAGTAAACTGTGAAGACATCTAAGGATGAATCCAAGACAAAGCAAAAAGTAGATGTAGCAGAAGCGGGTCGCGTTTTGCAAGATGTCTATGTTTCCTTTCTAGCATTCCTCAGTGTGACCCACAACGACGCACTTCCATGTTTCCCGTTGACTCCTGAGATCCTGATTCCATGTTGAATGGCGGGAGCGTGCACATTGTGCACGTGTTCTGAATATTGAGACGCTTTTGGTTGGCGGGGTCCGACTATGGTTGTACACTACAACCAACCCCTCTGTACCCCAGATGTATGTCTGGAAGGGCTGGGGGGCGTGACTGACAGTCCGCCACAGCTGCCGCAATCCTCGAGGATGCTTGTCCCGCCACCGCACTCGAAGAGCAGTCAGCCAAGTCCTCAGCATTGGTTTCAACTCCTGCTCCCGGAAACATTCACATGGAAGTGGACGGGAACCACCCGAAAACCCTATAGTCTTTTAGGGATCCATAGGGGGCCCCATATTTCACTTCCATGGGTTTTCGGAAGTGCAGCTGGGGGGACCGTTCCCCCGGAAGGTGGGATCCAGCCAGTCGGATTGATGGGGGGAGAGAGCCGTCGTAATGAGTTCGTGATCCACTAATGGGTAGATGGTTCGTGAGTTCGTGAGTTCCTGGCATTTGCCTTTCCAACGAGGGCGGAGCGGTCCAATCTTCGGCATGTCACCGAGGTTGAAGGCAACCAATTTGTGGTCCCCGGCAATGACCAGAGCCATTCTGAGAGACTCAATTGCCCGATTTGGAGATGGGTCGCTCTGGTATGGTAGGATGGATGTTGTGGGAATATCGGGTCGCCTGGCTACCCCGGCAAGAGGGTTGCAAGACGCTAGGCTGCTAGGCCGTGTATGGCCAATTCCTCCCTCCGAGGCAGACGAAGAAATGCCTGAAGCTGCTGCAGAAGAAGCTCCAGAGGTTGAAGCCGCAGAGGTTGAGGGCATGGATTTAGGGCAGATTGATGATGATGCGCAAGAGTTTCTTGTGGTTGGGATGTGTGTATGTGTGCGTGCTAGAGCACCACTTAAGAAGAGGAGCGAAAGAGCACCAGTCACCCGTTTGTTCATCCAACCCACCACATGTTCCCAGCAGAACTGCCTTGCCCCAAACAATTCATAGACAGTTGCTCGAGGCAAGCGCATGCGAGTGCTGTAATGCGAGCGCTGTATTAAAAAGGAACACCTTGTCATAAACATATTTTATGAGGAATGTGGCAAATCTTCCAAACCAAGTCCATCTTTATATAGATAGATGTTCTATATTGTTTCTATATGTTCCTCCTTCGGAGGCGGAGGAAGATGAGCTGGAAGCCGCAGAAGAAGAGCCTGAGGAGAAAGCTGTAGAGGCTGAGGGTGTGGAGGTGGGGCTGGTGGCTACGCAAGTGTTTGAATTGAGGAGATCCCTGGTTTGTAGCTGGATGTTCGCCTGGAGCATAGCCAGAGATGGAAAGAGACCAGCAGTTTGTTTCTGCAGGTCCTTGGTTGTAGTACTCCCGAAGGCTGTCAGAAAGTTTTGCACCCCCAGGACCACCAG